AGGGATTGCCATCAAACCAAGTTAGTTTATGTGATCAGCTTAAAGTAAACGAAGTCACAATGACGGGCTCCGAAGGAGAGTTTGAGATTTCGATCTTAATATATGAATGTAAGTTCAGTATGATCTTAGAAAGAAGGTAGGGTTAAGGAGAGATTCATATATTAAGAGAGATAAGAGATGTATTTCATTCAGAAGTAGAGAACTCTATATATAGAGTCTTGAGAAATTACATAGTGAATAAACAAAGACTAAATTCAGATAAAGTGTCCATGCAAGGCACACTGGACAATACAATGAAAATAGATAAGTTAAAAGATAACAAGTCTTTGTTACAGATGGAGTCGTTGCGGATGACTTCTTCTATTGAAGTTGCGGTAGCACAAGAACCATTACGGTAGAGAAGTAAAGTTCGGATTGAGAGGTTTAAGAGGGTCACTTTCTTGATTCAATAATTTCCCCCTAAGTGACCTATTCAACCTTTTCACTTGTTGTATTTCACGAACTTGATCAACAACCACCAAAACTTTCTCGCTTCACACAATCATGTGATCTTCCTTGTGATCTCAAATTTTACTTCATCAGTCACGCGCTTCGACCTCTGCACCGAAGTTAGGGTGACTTCCAGTAGCTTGCAGGTTAGGCAATGTATAGTTGTGATGGGGATGAAATACTTAACGTTGCTCTGGACTGTCTTGAACACAAATCCTAATTTTGGAAAGTTGGTTGTACCTACGAATCGATCTTGATATCCTTAAATAAAAACAGGTGTTGGTTCAAGTGCATGAAGGTTGAATTTTTGAACAAGGGTTGCACACTATGCATCTGCGGTACTTACAAGCCTTCTCATACGCAATCTTCATCTTGGAAAGTGTTAGTCAGAGTACTTACTTGATGATATACTGATCATAGGAAACGATTTTCCAACCTTGCAGGAAGTTAATTCCTGGCTTGGAAAGTGTTTCGCTATGAAGGATCTTGGAGAGGCTGCCTATTTTCTTGGAATAAGAATTTTGAGAAATAAGAGTAGAGGACTAATTGGACTTAGTCAGAGTACTTACTTGTATAAAGTGTTAAATCTTTTTAGCATGGAGAATTCCAAGAAGGGAGAGTTGCCTAGCGAGAGCAATACCAAGCTGAGTAAGACTCAGAGTCCAAGTACCGATGCCGAGATGGTAAAAATGAGTCGAGGTCTATATGCTTCTGCTGTTTGATCGATCATGTATGCTATAACATGTACTCACCCTGATGTGGCTTTTAATTTGAGCATTGTCGATTGATATCAAGGGAACTCGGGTAAAGTTAACTGGACAGCCGTAAAGAACATTCATAAGTATCTGCAAAGAACTAAGGATTGGGTGCTTGTTCTTGGTGGCAATAATGACTTGAGAGTTACTGGTTATAGTGACACCAGTTTTCAGACAGACTAAGACAATTTATGTTCTTAGTATGGTTGGGTGTTTACACTTAACGGAGGAGTAGTAACTTGGAAAAGTTCCAAACAGGAGATTCTGGCTGATTCATTGTGTGAGTCGGAGTATATAGCCACGTGCAAAGAGTCAAAGGAGGATATATGGTTGAAGAAGATCATTGGAGACCTTGGAGTTGTGCCAGCCATAAAGGATCCCATGGAGATTTACTGCGATAATGAAGGAGCAGTTTCCTTGACCAACGAACCAAGGGATCATGGAAGATCAAGACATATCGACAGAAAATACCACTTCATCAGACATCGGGTAGAAGAAGGACTCCTCGTCGTCAAGATGGTATCGTCAAAAGAGAATCCAGTTGATCCCCTCACAAAAGGGTCTGAGTAGGGTTAAGCACATTCATCATGCGAGGAGCATTTGTCTGCGGGACGATATTAGTTTTAGTGATTAGATAGATATATATTTTAGATACTTGTAATAGATAAATGTAATTGACATTTTTGATTATATAAGGGAGATTTATATATAAGTATTGTTTACTATCTTTTGTCAATTATTTATTTTATGTTTCAACTTTGCATGTTTTACTTCCAGAATAATTGGATTATTCAAATATCTACAATCAATCATACTTTGGAAGTAAGTAGTGAATTAAGACTATCATGAATTGGCTTGTATATTGTCTAAGTGTTTAGGCATAGCAATAGTTGTTGCAACGTTCATGAGTACTACTAAGACGGGGATTTGAGTATTGGATTAAATCCACACTCATTTGAATTTCTTCATGAAATTTATCACGAGTAGTTGTGAGACGATAATATCATATAGTCTTTAAGCAGAGATATATGAGTTGTTGTTTACGAGTTGGTTGTGCATTGATAATGCGTAAACGCATCAGTAACTTGATGTTGTAAAACATATTGTTGTCTACAATTTGATGAGTAAATAGTACAAGTATATAAGTCAAAGTTTATCTATTCCTTTTATCTCAAGGGGTAAAAGCGATATCTTGGGCCCCTCGATGATTTTGTGTTGACTTATGTGTCGAGCCCGTTCAGGACTGAATTGATGTGTTTAACTAAGTTCCTTGTCATACAAATTAGAAATCGGGAAAAAATTGTTGGACAATATGAGTGATTCTATTCCATGTCTTTGTCCACATGATATCTTGCAAAATAGAGGATTATATGATCCTTTATCTTAAGGACTCGATTGACTAGGTCAGAGTTCGACAACTGCTTTTGAGACCTATAATTGCTAATCAAATTCTGAAGTCGTACTTGCAATTATAATTATTAGACTTATCCAAGTAGGAGTCTATTAGATTAGGTGTCTAAGCCCATAATTATAATAGGTATGTACTTGATTTGATAGTAGCATTGTCCTTTTGGGTTGCCTTCACTTTAGCAGCTTGATAGGATAACCTAACAAAAGAGAGGTTAATAAATGATTTATTAATATATTATTAGGATAATATATTAATTACAAATCAAAATATTTAAATAGTATTTTATCATAAATTAATTTGGAATTAATAGTGGGATCAAATGAACTAATTAAAAGAACGGGGGTTGTTTTGTAAATCATTGATAGTTGCAAAACTAGGCTGTTGGATGCCATTGGAATGGGATGGATGAATTTTTATAGAGAGGCCCTATAGAATTCGTCCAATGCCTTCTAATGAGAGGTCCATGGGTTGCTTAAACCCTAAGCATGAAATTAGGGTTTCCTCCTGAGACCCTAGCAACCCACTAGCGGTTTAAGGACCCCTTTACACAGGGTTTTGTGGAATGCTTAGTGCATAGAAACCCTAGCCGAAATTCTAAGAGTTTCCTACCATCTCCTCATCTTCCTCTTTCTACAAGTGTTTGTGAGCCATTGTAGGTGCAATATTTGGTGTACTAAAGCTTTTAAGAGTCAAGATCAATCAAGGAATTCTTGTTATTGCTATATAACAAGCAAGGTAATCATCTTGACCCCTTTGATATATGAATTTCGAATATATATGCTAGATCTAGGGTTATTGCTTTGGAATTTCTTTTGCATGTTCAATTAGTGAAAAAATTTGATGCAAAGCAATTAGGGGTGCATGAACACAGATGTTGTTATGCTCAAACCCAGGGCAACTCGGATAGACTAAAGGCCAGTGAGGCGGACCAGTCATGCTGAAGGCCCAGAGAGACTGTCCAGACATGTTGAAGGTTTTGTTAGCGGTCCAGACAAGTTGAAGGCCTGGTGAGGCGGTCCAGACATGTTGAAGGCATTGTATGCATGCTGTTGTTGGTATATGTTATATGTTTCTGTGTTGGTACTTTGGGGTAATTCACTAAGCTTCCTGTTTACAGTTTTGGTTTATGGTATCATGTATCTCAGTGGATCGTGTCAGGGCGAAGGCGTAACCGTACACATCCTCGTGTTTTTGCACTTACGATTTCTGGGATACTCTGATAATAACCAAGTTTTGAAAACTATGTTGAGAACGATTCTGATTTTAAATAATGTTTGGAAACAATGGGTTTTAAAAATACTTCCATAGAAAAAGGTTGTTTTTAAAAGTTTAAATTTTATGAAATTTTATGGATGTTACACCACATCATCATTACACATCATTAGGTCACTTTGATCGGTTCATATTTACACATTGAAGTTTGTTATTTCCATGTTTTAGTTACTTGCCTTACGGGCTATTTTTCTGCTTTGTTTCTGCTTTGACTATGTATAAGGTAATTAGTTATTTAAGAAAATTCATGAAATAATCAAAAGATAGGGTGTGTTTTAAGGAATTAACCATGAATTTTTGAGTTTTGGAAAATGACCAAGATATCTATAGAGGGGGCTCTGCGGATCCCTTTAATCCTCTGAGGAACGATGGACAGTACTGAGAAAATGACGTAGCACCACTAAATGAGAAAAAATAAGTTGTGGCTATAATGGTTCTGTAAAGGTGGCTCTGTGGATGCATTGTACATGTGGATGCATTGTACACCTCTGCGGGTCGATAATCGTCTATGGAACCATCGAAAACGGGGTAAATCAGAAAAATTGCAGTTAACTACCAATTCTTCAGAGATATTATAGATCCGCAGAGGTGTAAAATGAATGTGCAGAGCCACCTAAGTATAACCATTATAGCCACAAATTTTTCTTGTCATTTAGTGGTGTCACGTCATTTCCATAGTATTGTGCATCATTTCCATAGTATTGTGCATCTTTTCTCAGAGGATTAAAGGGATCCATATTTTCCAAAACTCAAAATTTCATGGTTAATTAATTCCTTAAAACACTCCTAACTTTCGGTTATTTCAAGCATTTTCACTAGTTATTTTGTTTCTTTTAGGTACTTTGTATTTACCTTGTTTCAAAATACACATGCATAGATGATACGTTCAGCAGAGAATTGTGTGATCACTGTGTTCCTTCATTCTCGAATTCCTTCTTGTTGTGTTCAGAATCAACAGACTTGAGGGCGTACTTGGTGGATTGTGGACTTGTTATGATTACACACTATAAAAAAATTAAAGATGACACACTTTCTAAAAATGGGCACTACACCTTCAACTTACGATATCATAGCTAGCTAGTACTGTTAGCCATCGTAGCCCCAAAAGAACCGACTTCAAGGGGATATGTGGCTGTGTTGTACATGGGTATTGGCATCCTTAATGGAAGTTGTGGGATTGCACCGTCGAACATGAGCACATGTATTGCTTGCCGTATGGATGGCCGCATATTCTGTTCAGGATGCGCACACCATAATCCCACCTTCATCAAACGCTCGACCTGTGTAACATCAAATTCATTGTTCAGGATCTGATCGACACCAGAAAGCAGCTTACCTTTCTCGTGTAAGCCCCAAACCCACTTAACCAACCCAAGATCCGAATTTGGATCAACTCTATCCGTTGCCTTTCGCCCACAAACAATCTCTAATGCAACCACCCCAAAGCTATAGATATCCGACTCTTTACTTGCCTTCCCTGTTGTTAAGTACTCAGGGCACATGTAACCGAGTGTTCCAGCTAATGCAGTTGTTTTTACACCATGTTCAGGGTCGATGAGTCGAGCCAATCCGAAGTCTCCAAGTTTCACATTAAATTCTGAATCAAGCATAATGTTGCTCGTTTTCACATCTCGATGCACAACACAATGTTCACATTCTTCATGGAGGTAGAACAACGCAGAAGCTATACCTGTTGCGATCTTGTACCTTACATCCCACTCAAGGGTACTCTTTTTGTAGAAAAGATGAGAATCGAGGCTCCCGTTTGACAAAAACTCGTAGACAAGAGAGAATTGTGTTTGATCATGGCACCAACCAATGAGTTGCACCAAGTTTCGGTGTCTTAACCTGCTAATGATCTTCACTTCGGCTAGGTACTCTTTCTTTCCCTGTTTTGAACCCTGTGAAATTTTCTTGACAGCAACTTGCATGCGTTCACGGGATAAGTACCCCTTGTAGACACACCCGAATCCTCCTTCTCCCAACTTCTGATCAGCAGAGAAGTTGTTGGTAGCTAACATAAGATCCGCATAAGAAAATCGCTTTGGTCCTGCTCCCCTTTCAAGATCATGGTTTGTCGATGTCAACGCAACTGACTCTAGTGACTTTTGACTATGCTTATCTTCTTTACACCAAAATAAAGCCCATGTGATTACGACTCCTACAGCTAGAACACCCAGAGGGACCGTTAAGCCCACTGCTAGTTTCCTTTTCTTTGACGTATCTTCAACTTTATGAACTATATTTAAGCTTGAATTGAACTTCCAGTATTGAAGGATATGTCGCTCACGAGCTCTACCAGTGGAAGCTGAAAATCCAACTGTGACCCACTCGGGAAGAACTTTCCTTAGGTCAACTCGATATAAAAGACTGGTATTCTCTCCCGAAGTATTATCAGCCCTATATCGCCAAGACACGTTCAGCATCTGGGTGTTAGCATTGTAAGAAACCCAAACAACAGCAGGATCCCCGCTGTGCAAAGTAGCATTCCAAGCGGTTGAATTATCAGATTCAAGCCAGTTCGTGTTGATACCCACGTGTTGAAATGGAGGATCCCAGGTGTTATTCTTAGAATCAAACTCAACATAAATTATTTTGTTTTGGGACAATTTATTGTAACTTGTGTTGAACAAGCCTAAATTGCCAGAATCTGAGTTCGGTGGGATTTGGAAGCCAACCGGAGCAAGAAAGAAAGCTAAGCCATGGCCAGGGTCTTCTAAAGGTTGCGTCGTGATGATGAAAGTGAAATGAGTGGAGAAATCTGTGAGCTTGTTAGATTTGCTGTCCCATATCTGGACTGCATCTGCGTAATTGGCATGGCCAACACGATTGAAAATATTGACTTCGTTGAATTCAATGGCTCCACCAGAGGGTTTGGTAGCACCTGAATATACTATACGAGTGTCGCCCACACGAAAACTAGTGAACTCGAAGTACACTGATTCAGACAATGGCAGGAAGAACAGGGAGGAATAGAAGAAGAAAATAATACAACAAATTTGTCGTCGTCGAAATGAGGAACACCAGAAACAGGTAAACATGATGATGAAAGGAATGCGAATGTGTGTTGAAATGCCACCTAAACATGTCGTTAAATACCATCATTCTGTACCTAAAATATTGATATGGTCGACATCTTGATAATCAAGTTTGAACTAACACCTTAGTCTTATATATTTATATAATATACTATCTTTACATTTAACTAGACGGCATTGTAAATTATAGTACTTGAGGACCCACGTAAAATCCTTTGTTTTCTCGTACCACTTCATTGCATGCTGCGTCCAGGTTTCTGTTAGAAAAGACTTTAATTTTATTTTCTATGATTTTTTATTGTAAATTGTAAAATAAGGAGTAAATACATGCGTAGCAAAATTTGACGCTTTGGTTCGGAGATTTATGCCTAAGAAGTAGGCCTGACAATCGTGTCGTGTTCGGGTTGGCGTGTTACGGGTTGGCGGGTTGGCGGGTCAAAATATTTCAACCCAAACACGACCCATTTAAATATACAGGTCACGGGTTGGCGGGTCACGTGTTGGCGGGTTTGAAACATAAACTCATATATGACCCGCCAACGCATTTATTTATACGGGTTCATAGGTTGGCTGGTTTGTGGGTCAAATTTGGGTTCGTGGGTCCGAATTTTAGACATTTAAGTCTTAAACATCCAAATGAAAATTATAAACATTCATAGAAACATGTTACAGACTTAGCCTTATAGGTTACGACTTACGACCTTAGACCATTCACCACGACTCAAAATGTCAAAACAGTCAAATTGTCTATGAATCAATGGTATATATTATATAGTACTTATTAAATATTTATACTTAATACATAAATACATTTAAAAATAAAATAATTTTTTTTATTAAGAATATAAACGGGTTGGCAGGTCAACCCATTTATTTTTTGAGAAACCCATATATGACCCGTTTAATAAACAGGTTGGCGGGTTGACGGGTTAGCGGGTTGGCGGGTTGAAAAACTCAACCCAAACCCATTTATTTCGTGTCGTGTCGCGGGTCGTGTCGCGTGTCGTGTCGAGAATTGCCAGCCCTACTAAGAAGTAGCAATGATGGACCGGAGGCAGCCTTGTCCAACTATCTTGGTCCATCTCACATTTGCAACTATCAACCCATATGTCAGAGGTCTAGAGATGAGCAAAAATTCTGGTGAGGGACCAGTCCTGAAGAAAGACCAAGACAGAACCCGTCTAAAACAAGCCCGTTTCAAAAAATAATAAGATTCGGCTGGACCAAGGCGGGTTGGTAACAGTCTGAAAAATCGGATTGTTCCAAAACTAGCCCCAAATACGATTGGACCATTCCGAGAACGACGTGAGACCAATACAAGACCAACCCAAGACGACCCAAAGTGAAAGTTTATATGCATATAACATTTTTGCTAATTACATATTTTTTTAATCACACAACCACTACAACAAAATGCTAGTTAGTGACAAAAATGATTGGTCACTAACAATTGAAAGAGTCATCACTTATAATTTAGTGACCAAACTTTGGGTCGTCACTTAGTTCGTCAGTGGAGGTCCGTCACAAAAATTGATCAGTGACCAAATTCTAAAGTGGTCATTAGATAGTGAATAAATATACTCGTCACCACATCTATCACCACATCTATGACGAACATTTGGTCATCAAATGTTGTTACTAATCAATGTAGGTCGTCACTGTTTAATCTAATTAGTGACTATAAAGTCATTGTCTTATCTGATTAGTGACCTTAGAAACTTGTCACTTTGTTATCTATTTAGTCACCACATAAATTATCACTAATTTATCCCATTACCGACCATAAAAATTCGTAATTGATTTTTGCTGTTGTTGTTGTATTAAACCGATTTAAATAACTATCATGGAACTAGTCAATGGTACCATTTTCATATTTAAAGAAACCCACACTATAAATTATTCTCAATTATAAAACAAAAAAGTTCCAATTGACCTAGTCTTATCTATTATGTTATACAATAATTGTTGTTGCGTTCTCATGACCCTTTGAATAATGTGGATGAAATAGTATTGCAAAAAATTAATCTATTACTCTTCAAATGATTCCCAAACAAATATGTCATCTCAATCAGCAATACATTTATACATTATCAGTTAACAAAAATTTTACTTTTTTTTCTTGGTTAAAATTTATTAGTTAAAGAAACTTACAACAGTCAAAGCTGTGTGACAACCCTTATTCCGTGTTTTAACCTAGCACGATTCAAGACCTAGAACAACAAATGTTTTACAACATATTTATATAAAATAAAAAAATATCAATTTGAAATGTGATATTTACCTTAATTATTAAAATATACCTAATTCATGTCTTCAAATGTCAAAACTCCAAATATATACATGGAACACCTGCAACAATATAAAGTCAATAAATCAATTATAGAAAATAACATATATATATATATATGTGTGTGTGTGTGTGTGAGAAAGAAGAACATTAAACTATGATTGGTTTTGGTAATATGAAGTTAAAAATAATCTGAATTAAGGTAGAAAGGACCCAGATGCAGTTGAATTAGTAACAACATTACAGTGGGTGCAATCACAACTTACCTATGAAATCACAAAGAAAAATATGTAATTTATGCTTCACTATGATGATTTTCATGTTAGATATTTCATAACATTGCATTTATACACAAGATTGCATTATATTTAGCTGGTTTTCCAAGATTTTCAGGTAGTAAACCAGTCTCAAAACAACCTGGAACCCATACCAACTAATAATATGGACATATGATGCCGCTGGAGACATAGAACTGAGAAGGTCAAATAGGTTGGTGGTCAAACCATTTTGGTAGAAGGATTATCACATGGAGTGACAATGACACATGACTAGGAAGAATCCACATTTAGTTTAGTTTGTTCTGATCATGTGTAGTAGCTTAGAAGTTAGTTTGAATAAGTGGATAAGTACTTGTTTGGATTATCTTTTGGCGATTATTTAAGACAAGTCATGTCGACTTAATTTTGGCAAATTCTTCTTCTCTTTTCTCTATCTTTCTTTGTGGAGTACATGTTCAATCAAAGAACACAGCGTTGGCACACTATCTAGGTATATCAATTTGTCCTCTCATTGGGAGCATGGATGAACAAGCAATTTGATCCTTGATCACGCAACAAGCCGATTCGTTTCAAACAGAACTTGATTCCTAAACCAAAGAACTCAAAGCCGTTAACAACCAGTCTTAGACTAAAGGATCCTTGCTCGGTACCCAACTTCCCACGATCTATGAATTTAGATAAGACCAAGTTCAGTGGGATAGATCCAGAAAGTTGGGTTTTCTCCACTAATGAGTACCTCAACCTACACAACACGACAACCGACCGATGCTTTCAAATAATTGGGTCTAACCTAGAAGGTGAAGTATCTAAATGGTTCCGCTACATGACTCGGAACGATTCACTCTCAACGTGGGAAAGTTTTCTTGACAACATATGCACCCATTTTTGTTTGTCCTAATTCGAAGACCCCAAGGCACTCTATCTATATTACTCCAAGTTAGCACTGTGGCTTAATACTAGGCCGATTTCAAGAAATTAATGAATCAAGTCAACAACATCAGTGAAGGTTTGCTTATTTCCTTTTATACCTATGGCCTGATGTAACACCCTGAATTTAGAAGACTTAGAAAGGAAAGAAAATCTCAAGATGAGGAAGTGACTCGTCGAGTAGATGGGTGACTCGACGAGTAGGAGTGCGAATTTGGTCGCGAGATAAGTGACCTACTCAATAAGTCAAAAGACTGATTCGGCGAGTTGGCCAGGTTTTTGGAAAACCCTAAATGTGGGACTTGTACCCTATTTAAAGAACATTATAGCCCTTCTTCAGCCCCCTTGATACTCTCTCAAGTTCATAACGAAACTCGTCCCGCAAAGGGAGAGAAGCTTCATTCAAAGTGATCCGGATTAGGTGGTCGGCAATAAGGTTCTCGCATCCACTCTTTTCCTGGATTTCCAAATCAAATTCTTGTATCAATAAGATCCACCGGATAGTCTTTGATTTGCATCCTTCTTCGTCATCAAGTACTTGAGGGCCACGTGATCCGAATACACAATAACTTTGGTAATAAGTAGGTATTGTCTAAAGTTCTCAAAAGCGAACACTATGGATAATAGCTCCTTCTTTGTGGTAGAGTAGTTCCTTTGAGCATTGTCTAGTGTCCTTGATGCATAATAGATCACATGGGAGGCTCTTCCATTCTTTTGACCCAAAACGGCGCCAATAGCATAATTGCTTGCATCACACATGATCTCGAAACATAGATCCCAATTTGGTGATTGTATGATGGGGGCAGATGTAAGAAATTCCTTGAGCTTGTCGAAAGCTTCTTTGCACGCCTCATTGAGCTCTAAATCGACCTCCTTTTGCAAGAGTTGGCACATTGGTCGTGGTATCTTTGAAAAGTCCCTGATGAATCGTCGGTAGAAATCTGCATGGCCTAAAAAAGAACAAACTTCTCGAACACAAATCGGGTAAGGTATGCTTTGAATAACAACAATTTTGGCCTTATCTACGTCAATTCCATTTTAGATCAATGTGACCCAAAATGAGACCTTGACTCACCATAAAATGACATTTCTCAATGCATCTTTTCAAAATTTTATTGAGATTGGTCAAACATTCTTGAAACGAGTTCTCGTATACCGTAAAATCATCCATAAAAACCTCAATTACGTTTTCGATATATTTGGAAAAGATACAAACCATGCAACGTTGGAAAGTGGCTGGGGCATTACACAATCCAAATGACATTCTACGGTATTTTAAAGTGCCAAATAGACATATAAAAGTTGTCTTTTCTTGGCCGGGAGGGGAATGGCGGTTGAGTGGCTATGGGTGTTACGTGGGGAATAGACTTCTTTTGAACTCAGGCTTGTGCATCATTCTTGACTATAAATTCTTCAATGGGAATGCCTTCTATTTCTTCCTCTTCTTCCATTGGCTTCTTTGTTGAACTACTTTCTCCGGCTTGTTTGCCACTTCTCAAGGTCACCACATT